CGCAAAGCGAGTGCGGCGATTGGGGCTGATCCGTATAGCGATCCCCAAAAAGGGATCACTATACGGATTCTTCGTTAAACGGTGCGCTCGTTAAGCGAGGCACCACTGTATTGTGGTTTTTGATTTCTCATTTGTGATGTATTGTAATTATTCTATTAGACTGCCGACCCATTTCTGTAGAGACTGCCGTTTGTCTTATGTAGAGTTCAGAGGGACAATGTTGGCAAAATATGGCATAGATCACATTAGCTGAGGAGCAAGTGAAGGTGCCTTTGATATTGTGTGTGGCATTGTTAGGTCTCGTAATTGTGTTGCCAGAATAGATGTGTGGGCAGAGTTGGCATCTGGATCTGTGATAGGGTTTAGTCCCACTGTCCTTTGTTGCTGTTTCGTGTTCCATTGTGTTAAATTTGACTTCTATCAACCACACGGTGCATAGCTGAGAGCAAACCCAGTTTTTAATGGACATTTACAAAGGCTAGTGGGTTTGGGGGTTGTTGTTTTGTTGTTGTTGGTTTTAGCAATTAATTCTGGAACACCTATTTTATGTTTCTGGCATGTATGATCACTTCAACTGTCCAAAAGGGTGGTGGCAGATGTATGCTAGGGTGACAGTAAGGGTACAACGTCTATTTTTAAAAAAAGAAATGCAAGTGTCATAACACGGAATAGATATAACTCCTTGAGAAACTGCAGTACTTATACGCCATAGTACTAAAATTGTTAACCCCAATTTTAAAAACTGTTTGGAAGAGAGACAAAAGCCACTTGCTTGTGGATATGTTCCTACTGTTGCTGTTGTACCAAAAGGTGGGGGAAGAGGGAGGTGTTAACAGCAGAGGAAAATGAGTGACCCGTCCTCCCAATGAGAGCTGTAGGAATTTGAGGTGTGGTGTGGACTGGGGCTCCAAATAATTAAGCATTCTTTATGAACAGCGAAAGTAATATAACTGCCATCCGAAACTTCAAGCCAAGTCTCCCTGAACTGTCACACTCCAAGTGTATCTGAGAAGGTAACAACTGAATATTCCAACTGTAACTGTTGAAAGTCAGAGCTTTGTCTGAAGCAGGTAAGACAATTTCGGAGTACTTTAAGGGTATTACTGTGCACTCGGGAGTAAATGGGTGGCTGTTATTTTACATACATAAAATGGAAGTGGAAAAGGAACCATATTTTGGTTCTAAGAGGAAACAGCCAATACACGTAACAAGCAGAAATAAGGCTTGAGCATCATGACCTCCCAAATTAGCACAGATTGTAGGAACACAACAAGAATATTGATACTGGACTATCATTTTACTACAGCAAAGCATACTTGATCTATAGCCCCTCATTATATGATGATGCCCTCCTGAAAACTGTGGTGGAAACCTGCTGTAGCTTTTAGGCAGCCAATCAGCTTTAAACAATAACTCATTAGTAATCAACTGACTATAGAAAACCAACATCTGGGCACGTATAAACCCAGCAACAAGCTGAAGACATACTTGCGTCATTTGCTTCTCATCAAGAACACTGTTTCATATCCCAACAATGAAAGCGACACAACACCATTCCAGCCAGATTCCTACCCAGGCAATTCCACAAACATTTCAGGGCTTTCTGGCACTCCAAATAGACTACTGAAAATAAATGGAGCAGTAAGAAACTTGTAAGCAAAGTTTCTGAGCATTCCATCAAGAACGTCAAAGTGGATGCCCTGAACAAATTAATTTAGGTGGAAGAATGTAACAAGAAAAGGAAATGCAAGAAAGCAAAGTGGCTGTCCAACGAGGCCTTACAAATAACAGAGAGAAGGGAAACAAAATGCAAGGGAGATAGGGAAAGGTACAGAAAATTGAATGCAGACTTCCAAAGAATAGCAAGGAGAGACAAGAGGGTCTTCTTAAACAAACAGTGCAAAGAAATAGAAGAAAATAATAGAAAGGGAAAAACCAGTGATTTGTTCAAGAAAATTGGAGATATTCAAGGAACATTTTGTGCAAAGATGGACATGATAAAGGACAAAAATGGTAAGGACCTCGCAGAAGCAGAAAACCAAGAAGAGGTGGCAAGAATACACAGAGGAATTATACCAGAAAGATCTGGATGTCCCGGATAACCCAGATAGTGTGGTTGCTGACCTTGAGCCAGACATCCTGGAGAGTGAAGTCAAGTGAGCCTTAGAAAGCATGGCAAACAACAAGGCCAGTGGAGGTGATGCCATTCCAGTTGAACGACAGAGGATATGGTTGGACAGTGTCATCAAAGCTACCAAAATGAATGTGACCCAACTCTAGGAGGCAGTGGAAGACAAGAAAGCCTGGCGTGCTCTGGTCCATGGGGTCACAAAGAGTCGGACATGACTAAACAACTAAACAACAACAACAGGTAACAAGACACGGAAACATCATTGAGCTAAGATTTCAAGACACTAGATTCCACTCAATTTCTTTCACCAGCATTTAATACAGTTATATATTATAGCACGGAAATTCTACTCAGGCAATTCCTTTTAAACAAAACAGCTTTTGTCAATTTCAACATCTGATGAATTAGAACTACAATATTTGAAAACTCAAGCCTTTTATTTATCAAATATCCTTAGGACAGCAGGACCCTGAAATGTTGCACCTTGCCAATTCCAGATGTTAACATGCTACATCCCCTGATTACTGTCCTGGACCATGGAGCATTTTTCACAGAACCTAACAAAAGTTTGTATGACCATGCTGATCCTTAGACATTCGTTTAATAAATAATGTGTGCTGTCAAGTAAATTCTGTCTTATGGCAATTCCCTTTGTTGGGGAGAGGGGCACCCTAGTAGCTGGCCCACAGCCACACAGGCTGGTTCTACTTTGCAGAAGGCATGGAGTGTGGGGGAACTGAACACTCAACCTCTGACTCAGCAGCCAGACACCTATGCCACTGAGCTATCCAGCCAACTAGACAGTCACTCAAAGTAAACCAGAAGCAAATCAAGAATCACTGCCATTCAAAATTTTTCCCAGTATAGCACATACAGTATTTGTGTGGCAAGTTTGTATGAAAAGTTATGTGGCATAAAGTCTTCTGAAAATTTGATTTTCAAGCAGCATTTGATAATGGTTTGGGAAGCTTTTCATCCCAATGAAAGAGCATAATGTGTCAATTCACAGCCTTGACAGCCACCCAGTACACATCTAATTATGCTCAAATGCAATGGACTTCTCCCAGATTAGGCACACTTAACTCTAGTTCAGGCAACCACTATCACAGTTCTTCTATACACTCTCTTTCAATTCCCCAGAAGGAAATCTTTATCTAATATTCCCTAAGTTGCAAAAGAAAACAACATTTTGTAACAACTGTCAGGTGAAAATAAGCTAGTGCAGCATTTGCTTGTATAACTTTACAATCATGTACATATTCAACTGCCAGATTGTTCTCCAACAGGACTCAAACACTATGGCCGCTATAGTCCACAGCTAGTACTCAGAAACTACAGAGAAAGACACAGAAATACACACTTATATTAAGAAGAAAAATGACTGCTTTCAGTAATATTAATTTACAGGATGAGCATTATACTCAGAGATCCTGAATGGTTGGCCCCAACTTTGGTGATGCAACAGTTCTATGTCTGGAAACTGACGAAGAACTACTGTATTTTATTTCTTTTGGGTTACTGTTTACTAACAACAATTGGCTACTTGCTTGTAAAGCTGAGGTGAAGCAGCTGATCTTTAACCAATCAAGCTCCAATGCTTTACTGGCAATAACAAAACATAAGGTGTCAGTGATCTAAATAAGGTATTTATCAACTGCAAAAAAACAACAACAACAAAACGGAAAGATAAGGATAGATCCAGAAAAGGAATTTTAAAAGTAGAGAGCCAAGTTTGGTTAGACGCTAGGTGCTGAGACATCACAACAATGAGTTTCCAGTGTCATGTTATTAGTAACATGTTCTCTGAGGAGACACACAAATCTTCTAAAAATGCACAGTTGACAAATAATCTGTCAAAAGGCCTACCTGGTTTCAAGAAATGTTTATTATCCTGGTTTTTATACTGGTTTTTATCCCCTACAAAACTGCAATCTCAGGTAAGGGCAAGATGGAACCTCTCAGAAGGAGATTGGAAAAAGAGCAGAGAAAACCTATTTTTACCCTGATCGTTTTACCTCATGGAGGGTGAGATGTTTGCCATCTTTTCTTTTGGAGTCAAATCTGCCATAGATCGCACTGTACTTCCTAATCTCCTCCTCTTTGTGAGGGTCATCATCATTCATCTCAAAGATGTGACCAACCATCTTGGCCAGTTTTTTATTGACTTTCAGCAGTTCTTTCACCTCATTCAAGTCACTTTTGGGAAGAGTGGGAACCAAGCGCTCAACACACTCAGTTACCGACAAAGCCGCCGCTGCATCCAACGTTTCCGCGTTTTCCTTTGGTGAGGCTGGAGAGCCAACGTCAGCTGGGGAAAGACTGTGTTCACTCTCTGTCGTGTGGTGTCCTTGCCACAGTCTCTGGTCACTGCCGCTCTGCAGCGGTAAGTTTCCCATCCCCTCAGACTTGCTGGCTCCCACACTCTGGACGCAGGTCGTGGCAGCACATTTTGGAATCTTCAAGTGAGGCTCCCGGGCATTACTGTTCCTTTCATAACTATTGCATGAAATTCCCAACCAAGCTGGAGAACCTTCCGGTAACTTATATATTGGAATGCTACTAACCGGTAAGGAAGTCAGAGGCTGGTTAAAAAGGCTTGGATTTGTGACCCAGTCCCTCAAAGCTTTCTGCAGTCTTCGGACGTGAAGAGGTTTGCTCGCCATGCCTACGAGGGCCATGATCTCAAGAAACTCCTCTTCCCCTGCTTCGCACAACTGCTGGACATCATCCCCTCCCTGCTGAATGAAGGCATCGAAGTAGAACAAGAGATTGGCTTTCTGCAGGATCCGATAAAGCTGCAGCTCTCCGAGGGTTCTGGGTAACGCTGTGGCCATGGTGGGCGGAACGTCCTGCCAAAATAAAGCAAGAAGAGTAACAAAATAAATCCCCATTTCCAGATGGGTTTTCCAACACCCATTGCTCTTTCCAAAATAAGTTTGTGTTCTGACAATAAGCGGAGGCAGTGGTTACGAGAACTTGTGTGATAGAAAACACTAATAAGAATCCAGGACTGAACATCAGATTAGGCCTTGCTTAGCTATCAACTCACTAGGTGGCCTTGAGCATAATCACTATCTTAGCTCCCCCATCTGTGAGGCAGAATATATAATAGCCCTACATCACAGTGTAGTTCTGGAAAAAACAACCACCACTAAAGATAAGGTCGCCTCCTAAGAATGTTTTAGAACTAGTACTCAATCACAACAATTGTAGCACAGTATTGTGAGTGGAAAGTGGGGGAGGGACATCCTTCCTGGAAAAGGACTGCATTCTTGGTTGGGATCCAAACATGTTTTCCTCCTTACAGCTGCCATCAAGTTCTCACAAGGAAAGTTTGTTCTGACACAAACAGGTTGTCAACACCCTCCTGCCCTACATTAGATGGTGAGGGGAAAGTACAATCAACATGTAGAAGTGTCAAGAATGGCTTTCCCCTTGCCTTCGATTGAATATTCTAGCCTGATTCATCCATCACTAGTAGTTCAGGAGCAATCTTAAGCATCCTTCCCAAATCCATTCCCCACCAAATCCACGGGAGTAGGCTACAACTCCCCTAATCCTTAAGGAGCTATGGCCACTTAATGCTTAAGGAGAGTAGATGGTGAAAGTAACTGAACATTTATAAGACTGGTATAAAGCGGGAAGGAAAGGGGAGGGAAAAACTGCCATGGATCTACAAATACCACCTCTTTTATGCTTGCATACAACCTCTCAACTGCCTCATTCAAATGCTCTGACTGGAGGTCTACTGTATTATACGGCTCCTTTTTCTGCCCTTCCACCTTCACACATTGAATGGTATGAACTGGAGGTCTACTGTATTATACGGCTCCTTTTTCTGCCCTTTCACCTTCAGTGATTTCTCTTCCACTCATCGTCTTTTGTAAATATTGTTTCCTCCAAAGATATGAAACCAGGTGAAAAAATCATGGAACAAAAAAAATGATAGAATAAACATGTCAAGGGAGTTCATACTCAAGTTAAAAAAAAGAGAAGAGCACTGAAATGTTAAAAGAGTGTATTATACGGCTCCTTTTTCTGCCCTTTCACCTTCAGTGATTTCTCTTCCACTCATCGTCTTTTGTAAATATTGTTTCCTCCAAAGATATGAAACCAGGTGAAAAAATCATGGAACAAAAAAAATGATAGAATAAACATGTCAAGGGAGTTCATACTCAAGTTAAAAAAAAGAGAAGAGCACTGAAATGTTAAAAGAGAATACTGATTCGCGCCCCCCCATCAGCTTCTGCTAATATCAAAGATGTTTTCAGTGGTTCAGTTGTGACTTATGGGAAATTCCACAGGGGATGTTGAGACTGGGGGCCATCCGTGCTTCCCATGTGGTGCTCTGCCTCCGATTCACTCTTATTCAATTTTCCTTCTTGCAACCATTTCTCCTTCTCCAAACCAGGGCTCCCTGGCTTGCCCGAGCAGTGATCTGGGGCCACCAAAATGGGAAGTCAGGCAACTTACATCCTATCAAGAAACATGGCTGCCTGGTGACAGTGGTACACTGTGCTGGTCCTGGAGGCAGAGGGATAACAGAGGGGGACGAAGGGAGAAGGGTTGCGTTATAATGTTGTGTTGTATTTGGCAACATTGAGTAGAAGGAATTCCATCCCAAAATTCCAGCACCTTTGTCAGAACTTGGATTAAACTGATGAGCTCTTGCTTTAGACCAGTGGTTCTCAACCATAGGTCCCCAGTGATTCTTGGACTAAAACTCTCAGAAGCCTTCATCACTAGCTGTGCTAGCCAGGCTTTCTGGGAGTTGTAGTCCAAGAATATCTGGGGACCCAAAGTTGGGAACCACTGCTTTGGACAGCGGGTGAGGGAGAAGAGAGCTCTAGGGAGGTCTTCAGCGAAGGCCAGGTTAGACCAGTGGTTCTCAACCATAGGTCCCCAGTGATTCTTGGACTAAAACTCTCAGAAGCCTTCATCACTAGCTGTGCTAGCCAGGCTTTCTGGGAGTTGTAGTCCAAGAATATCTGGGGACCCAAAGTTGGGAACCACTGCTTTGGACAGCGGGTGAGGGAGAAGAGAGCTCTAGGGAGGTCTTCAGCGAAGGCCAGGGCA